ATCTATCTATCTATCTATCTATCTATCATCTATCTATCTATCTATCTCTCTATCTTCATCATCATCATCATCATCATCTATCATGTCTATCTCTTATATCTATCATTTGTTTGTCTATTATCTATCTATCTATATCTATCTATCTATCTATCTATCTATCTATCTATCTATCTATCTATCTATCTATCTATCCATCATATCTATCTTATATCTATCATCTATCTATCTATCTATCTATCTATCTATCTATCTATCCATCCATCCATCCATCATATCTATCTTATATCTATCATTTGTCTATCTATCTATCTATCTATCTATCTATCTATCTATCTATCTATCAATCATCTATCATATCTATCTCTTATATCTATCATTTGACTGTCTGTGTCTGTCTGTCTGTCTATCTATCTTTATATCTATCTCTAGCTTTATATCTATCTATATCTTCTATATGTCTGTCTGTCTGTCCATCCGTCCATCCATCCATCCATCCATCCATCCATCCATCCATCCATCCATCTATCGGGTCAGCTTGCAAAATTTAGAAGTGAAAAAATTACTGTGCTAGCCAGCCATCTCAATTAACCTTCTTTGATTTTAGCCCTGCCAGAAATGATATGGAGGCTAACCTACCTTTTAATCATTTTACAGCATTTGCACCCCATCTGGATTCTTCTTTCGTCAGTATCTGTAAAGAGAAAGAGGGTGGGGGGAGGGAAAGAGACATCAGAAGCAGGGAATTCTATGCAAAATAGGGAGAGGTGGGACTCTCCACTTTATTTTTGAAAGTGTGTGTTGGATAAAATGAGTTTCCAATTATGTTTAAACATGGGAAACACTAAGGGTGATGACATTTGACTCAATCAGCCTGTTGCGTGCACTCCCCTCCCTCCCTCCTATCCTCTCCTTCCCTCCCTTCCTATTATGCCTCCCTCTCTCCCTCCTTCCCTTCCTCTCTCTTTCTTTCTCTTTCCCTTATCTTCCTTCCTTTGTTTGTTCCTTCTTTTCTCTCTCTCTCCTTTCCACTCTCACCCTCTGCCCTTCCTTCCTCCCTCCCTCCCTCCCTCCTTCCTTCCTTCCTCCCTCCCTCCTTTCTTTCTTCTTTCTTCTTTTCATTCCTTGCCTCCCTCCTTTCCTTTTCTCTCTCTCTCTCATACTCATTCTCTCATTCTTTCCTACCTAAGACATCACAAGGTTAAACCAGTAGAAAAACAGCAAAGGCATTTTCTTCCTCAACCAAACAGGACAGTATTAAAAACAGAAAGCATTTCCTTTGTTAAATATTAACCAGTGGCTTGTTTCCCTCCAAATAGAGTTGGAATGACCTGGAAAGCTCTGCTGAGAAGTGAAACAGGAGCAGAGAACCAAATTTAGACTCCCGAGACTGCAAACATTGAGAAGTTATGCTACAGCAGAGAAATTGAAAAGATCTACTCAACCAATTCAACCAATTGACAACTGACTCAATATTTATGATGGTTGTAGGCATCCCCCGGGGATCATGGGCTCCCCTTTTGCGATCTTCTGACAAGCAAAGGTCAGATTCACTTAATGGCCACCTTACTACTTGAACAACTGTCACGATTCACTTAGGAACAGTGAAAAGAAAATTCGTAAAACATCATCTGTGCTAGAAGGGAGGGGGGTTGGGGAAGAGAAGGAGGAGGAGGAAGAGGAGGACTGTGGGATTCTTGATGCTCTCTGTGCTTGGCTGTTTTCTTACAAAAGTTTCATTACCAAACTAGGTAACATCATCAGCGTTAATCTTCACTAGTTTGGCTAAGGAAACATCTGTACGAAAACAACCGAGCTCAGAGAGCACCAAGGACTCATGTCAACCCTGAGCTACAAATATTCTCCTTTACCAGAAGTTGACTTTCGAGCTTGATTTCTCACTTGATTAGGAGCCAGCCGTGTGCAGCAGCCGCCACCACCAAAAACCCCTAATGCCATCCTGGGTTGTATAAACAGAGGCACAGAATCAAGATCACGTGAGGTATTAGTGCCGCTTTATAAAGCCCCGGTAAAACCACACCTGGAATATTGCAACCAATTTTGGTTATCATGCTACGAAAAAAGATGTTGGGACTTTGGAAAAAGTGCAGAGAAGAGCAACTAAGACGATCAAAGGCCTGGACACTAAAACATATGAAGAATGGCTGCAGGATTTGGGTTTGGCTAATCTAGAGAAAAGAAGGACTGGGGGGGACAGGATAGCAGGATTTCAGTATCGGAGGGGCTGCCACAAAGAGGTGGGGGTCAAGCTATTCTCCAAAACACCAGCGTGTAGGATCAGAAACAACGGTTGGAAACTGATCAAAGAGAGAAGCAACCTGGAATTAAGGAGAAACTTGCTAACGGTGAGGACAAATAACCAGTGGAAGAGCTTTGCCTTCAGAAGTTGTGGGCGCTCCATCACTGGAGGTTTTTAAGAAGAGACTGGACAGTCACTTGTCTGAGATGGTATAAGATCTCCTGCTTGAGCCGGGGGATGGACTAGAAGACCTCCATGGTTCCTTCCCTATTCTATTCTATTCTATTCTATTCTATTCTATTCTATTCTATTCT